TTTTTATTTGGAGGTTATTCTTTTTTTTTCTGTTTTCCCAAGGACTACGAATTTTTCAAAAGTAAAAACACAGAAAATTCTGTTTTTAGTTGCTTTATCCAATTATGCCAATTTCAAAAATTAGTGAAAGAGTCCATTAGGTTCCGCAAATATCTAAATGATAGATGGTCGGACAGCACCTAGTTTATATTCAAATAATTATTATTTGACTAATACCTATTTCATTTGCTATATTATTCATGTTATCATTTATTATTTGAATACTTTTTTATAAAAATTAATGACAGCCCCCTATAACAGGGGGCCCTGGGTCAGGGCCCAGCTGGCCCATGCATGAAGATGGCACTGACACCAAACTGTTACTGTTGGGTTATCTCTTTCCACCGAGTTCCAGAGAAAATACTCTGGAACTTGTTAAATTTTCTCGGAAAATGTATTTTAACTTAATGGCATGTAATATTGACAATTGAGTTGAAGAGGGCGCTTCTGTACTTGGATCTCTTCAAATTTTGGCGCGTAAAAAATCGATTGAAATTTTAACCTCAAAACTTAAAAGCGGTTTCCATTTGTCAAACCAGTGCAAAAATAATGTATTCTTATCCTTACATGTTACATGCTGTTAGAAATAGATGCAGATATACTCAGTGCGCACTGATTGACAAATGGAAATCGTCATAAGTTTCATGTGTGGTTTCAAGGCAAACTGACGCTGACACTTTTAAAAATATTCTCTAGAGGAGCACTGAACGCTTTGGAAGATATTTTAACTTATCCATTGTCCATTATTCATATGTAGTCATCTATTCATTCTACTCAATTTAATTGGTTTAAAACTATTGACATTTACCGCCAAAATTTAAAGCACTCCAAGTTCACTCGCGCCCTCTACAAAATTTTGAAAAAATTTAACTGGATATTTGCTGCCATTGATATCTAACTAGACAGTTACAAAATTGTTTGCCTAATGGCCATTTGCACCGCTATCACTTGAGGGATATTAAAGGGATATTTAATTTGAGTGGAGCTTTTGAATGTGACTTTTGTTTCTACGAGAATCACATTCAAAGCTCCACTTAGATTAAATATCCTTTAAGTTATAGCGGTGCAAATGGCCGTTAGTGATATTGTCAACCCTACATGGGACCACGGGCTATAACCAAATTCAATACACTGAATCACGGGTTATAACAAATAACTGCAACTAAGCAAGAAAACACAACCAGACTAATTAACGTAATTATAGTCAGCAAATATTGAATATAAAAGCCCGGGCCACACTATGGCAAATCAGTCGTGTCTCAGCGCTTCGCTGCAATCAGTAGGTGTTGAGAGATGACTCAAAGTTGGGGAGCTATCTGGGGCCCTATTTTCGAATATTTTCGCATACGAAATTTGATACGATTTCTAATGCTCCCCATTTAATTTACATTGCTGTCAGTCAAATTTTGTGTACGAAATGTACTCGAATTGTTTCGAAAATCGCACCCCTGGACTGATAAAGTTAATACGCTATCGTATCTCTATCAGGGCAGATATTCTCTGACGATCCAGGCTTTGACCTACAGTGAAAAGGCTTTCTAGATTTTCCTGTAGTGCTGGTTTGGTTGTTTAGCTTTGCAGGGGTATACCCGACGTGTTGACTGTCCGCCCTTTTGAGCCTTACCACCCGAAGGGACGTTATCTGGTCCAAGATGATGATGATTTGGTAACAATTAAATATTCATGCTTCCGTAATCTCCGTCCTGTAACAATATATATTAGCTATCTAAAACTGTTCTGGTGTTTCCCTGTTACTCCTCCCTTCCCGTTCTGCTTTTCAGGGTGAATAGTTGAGCTACATAGCGAAGCAGAGACGTTTCGTGACAATATCAATAAGTACCTACAGCATGAAGTTGCACGCGTTTGTAAAACTACCAAGGTTTCAATTTTGATTTTTCACGGCTAAAACTTCAATTTTTAGGGACGATGTCTATTGGTACATGGATACCTTGAACATAATTTTTTTTTGACGTTGTGATATTAGAAATAGTGAAGAATTTCGATGTTGAAAAACGGATTTTTTTGCTTTTACTCGCCCTGTATAAGTTTCAAAAAAATTTGCAACCTACTAGAAAAAATCTTTAGGCTAAGAGAAATCGAATTGTACGAACCGCAGGTAGCTAGCACACCTGGTTTAAACGTTATAAGCATTTAAAATCACTTTCGGCTGGGACACCATGTATGTAATTATTCTGCCACAATAGACCTGTCTCGCATGATTAGAAAAAGAGAGCTTAATTGTAATAAATACAAGTTAAAAAGCAATAAAAGATGACATGCGCGCGTAACTCGTAGGCTGCAGTGTAGCCAGATTGTATTGTTGCAGAACAAATGTAGACAATACAAATCGAACATTATAACATTAGAGAAGTGATAAAGTGTCAAGTGTTTTACAACGCCTTAAATCAGACAAACGAAGAGCTTTAAAGTGAATGAACATCCTTTGCACTTTTATTTTGATAAATGTTTCATCCGGCAACATCGCTCAATGAAATTGCAAAGCAATATGTCAAGTATAATCTAACATAACCTTAAATAAAACTGCGGTGAGTTCAAGTAATATGTAAAGTATTAGTTTGCTCTTTGTCAAATTACACGTTACAAAGAAAGAAGGAACGATTCATTCTGAACTGGCCCCTGAATAAGAATATGTCGCAAGCCTGTCACAAACTTGTTTTTCATTAGACGCTCACCTGCGGCCTACAAGCGACGCGCGCAATCTAGGTAATAGGAGATCAGTCTATTCTAAAATTAATAACGAGGAATAAAAGACGATAATTAGCCCTTTCGATAGTTTTAACTAAGCCTGTATATCCTGGGTGTGTTAAGCAACATAGAACCAGTCATTTTAGAAACTCCAAAACTGCTGAGACACCTGGTTTAGGGTTCAGTATTTACATAGGCTGTTCATTTGCTCTACTTGCTCGAAAATTAGAAAGTTCTGCTAGGAGCTGCTATTTATGCGCTTATAATATATGGGACAAGTGAACGCCAATCTGCTGAGATCTGCTTGAAGCAAGAAAAGTACAAATTAACACCCTAATACATTCATACGTTGCCTTGGCTGAAATGAATATAAAATCTTTAGAAAAATCCGAATATTCCCGTCGAGAAGAAGTTCTGACAATATTATTGTTTACGCAATAGTATTTGAAATTTTGTAAACTGGACTGCGACTGGAAAATCGCGCAAACAAATAGAAATAGAAATGAAAATGATACCATATATAGGGTTGTCGAAACACACAAAAGATATTTCCACTCACCTGGGTTTTCTTATAAGCTGTGTGTTTATACCGGGATACCCTGGAAAATGGTTCTCCACAACCACCAACGTATCAGCATCGACAGGTCCCTTTTTAACGGCACAAGACATAGACTTTGCGAGCTTAAAACACGGAACCGGAAGAAATTGTAACGTGTATATAAAGCACCATTTATCTAGTAGGTAAATCCAAATCTTCAACGGCTGTCTCGGTCGGCGCAGGGTCGTAAAAAATACACTCCTGTGTGTTTTACGCGAAATTGACATTTAAGTAATTCTTTAATAAGAATGAGAAGAAACCAAATTTATAAATAATGTTGCGTTAACAATTATTTTCTATGAGAAAATACATATTGCCAGACATTTGACTGAAATTGAAACCGAGGTACATACATCATTCTGAGAATATTAGAGAAATTTCTAAGCATAAAAGAAAAGTGATTCAAACACTATTATTGGAGAAGTTTTAGGTACGGATAAGTATTTTTGATTCAGACGCATCAAAGGATGTAAATTATTGGAACAAAACAATGACTGAAGAGTTTACCTCATTGATGAAAATTAAGAGATGGGATTCGACTGAACTACAAAGGAGGATTCTATGATAATAATAAGAGATCAGACTTGTCGCTAGAGGGTTTGAACAAAAATGGAAAATTGCAAATTGATTATTCAGAAACAGTCCTGTAGCACCTCATATAAAGTCCGTCGTTGTTAATCTGACACTTTCCGTATGAGGAGCGAGGAGGTGTTTCATATGGCAAAAACAGGTGTGATGTGTGATGTCAGGTATAGTTTATCTATTCTAAATTGAACCAATTTATTTTCAAGCTATGTATAAGGTACGATCAAATATTAGGCACCTTTGGCGTGAATAAATACTTAAAAACCTATATAAATGTTTTGAATATTCCCTACTAGAAACTACAATCGACAAAATGAAATACTGGTTGTCGGAACGGAATTTCGAAAAGATTTCTTCATGTTTATTTGCTTGGGGTAACTTCTTCTAATGTAGGGAGCCACCAGCTCACATTCCTTTGGAGTATCAGATTAAAATCGACAGACATTATGTGTTACTTTTAGATTAATTTTGCCTTGCCGCTTTACACAAAATGAAATAAACGAATTTCGATGTAAAGATAGCGTCCTTACATGGATCTAAAAAAGGACATTTTTATTTATCAACCTAAAGCATTTGACTTGAGCAAGTCCTCAAAAATTGCTACAGGGGTCACAATGAATTTAACTATGTATAATTTCTTATAGTAATTCAAAATTCGTTTGCTAAAATAAAAGCAAAGCTATAATTAAGTGCGGCATACTTAAAAATAAATCCTTGATGCCGACTTTGCTGTTATGAAAACCCACGATTCAAGAATTAAGTAATTGAAAATATTATTCGTGAAAGAAGGAAATCGCTGATTACGAAGTTAACATTACAGAAGCTATTTATACAGTGCGAACATTTAGATACAATTTTAGCTGAAATGCCATTGCTTTTTATCACACTGTACTTTTAATATCAGTTCTACCTCTAATTTGTAGGTAAATTTTCCAAGTACATATCGACATATAAGAACACTTTTCTTTTGAATTAACAACTCTGCTATTTTTTGAAATTTGTACACCCTATATATGAAGAAGAATGTTTGTGTGGGTCGCTTTGTGTCTTTCCGCAGCCAAAAAAACCTTCATTTCATTTCTTGGTAAATTTCAAGAAACTAGAACAATAAGTGCCCTATTTCCCAAACATTATGATGACTAAAATTTTGTATTTATTTGTTAATATTTTATTATGTCTAGGAAAGTGCGCCTGTGAGGAAAATGCCACAGTCAGCAGCCTGAATAATGGTACCAATAAATTTATTCGTAAGTACCCACTCAAAATAATAAAAAATGGAAAAATTATGTCATAAATGTAAATGAGGGTGCAGAAGGCTTATTTTTTCTTATTTTTCAAACCTTTTTCTAACTAGTCGCATAGTTTCGATCCAATCCAAACGTCCTTCAATGTAATTTTTTGTAAATTTGATTTTTTCCATAACTACATTGATTCGCATTTTACTTCACAACTTTGTTAATTTTAATCCGATCTTAACGTAATTAGGCTCAAATTAAAACCAATTAAATCCTCTACAAAATTGCATTAAAGGTACTTCGACTTTCCTAGAGTAGACAAATTCCTGTTACTTATTTAATTGATTTTAAAATACCTTCGCTTCAAGAGACTTAAATTAAAATTCTCAAACGTACCGTAACGTCTACCAACTTTCTGAATTCCTAATAGGTTTCTCGACTTTAAAACACTTTAAAGACGCTTAAGTATTGATTTTCCCATCCTGCTTTACTTAACTCAGGCTGCTGGTAGTACAATTTATGCGTGTAACCTCTATTAAATTTCTGATTTCCCTATACTTGATCCAGAATTTAACACACAAAATTATTGATTTTTTGATTCCGTATCCGTAAACAGTCATTTAATTCAAGTTATCTTACCGAAGCTCTGATATCCTAATAATTAAGCTCAGGTTCGCATTGCAAATTATTGATTTTTGACTTCACTTTGGTCTACAAGCTGGGCATTTAAGTCAACAATAAAATGCCGTACTGCGCTCCTGTGAAAGCGTTACAAAACCATATTATTCCAACTGTACTTTGAAAGAAAAAGCTTACACAACTTATTTGAGTAAGATAAAGATAGGCACGCATTCAAATCCAAGTCGACATCTATGTCAACTTATGCGATCCTGCTGAAAAAGTTAAATTCACGCTTTAAACTTATTGATTTTTTGATCAGCTGGTCAATTGTCTATTTAAATTTTAAAGTTTTTAAGGTTGGATTTAATAAAAAGATCAAAGAGGTTTATATAGTAATTTCGAATTTAATAATTCGAATCAAAATTGTGTTAACTGAATAGCAGGAGTGTAGAAGTCCGTTGAGGTTTTTGGTCAAATCATTGTCAGGAAATTGTTTATGTTTTAATAATCGTTTTAACAATTCAAGCACATATTTGCTTTCGGTGCTGTTTTCCTGATGAATTAAGTGAATCAACCTATCGATTTTCTTGGATGATGATGATTTTGTGAGATGATACTTACTTACTCACTTATTTAAGTATTTACATCAAAAACTAAATCAAATATTTTTCTTGATTGCAAATTTATAAATAAGGGACCATAATTATTAATATTACATAGGTATTAGTTATTGATTAGGTATTGGTATTTTTAAATTCTTAAGAAAATTTGTTAGAAATAGAGAATGATGAAGTCGAGATAACTGTATTCTTATCTTATATAAATTGAATCAGGTGCAGATTTATCGCTTATCTGTAATTTATTGGATATTATTTTTTTTTCAAATCCGTATAAAGAATGTGAGATTTATGACTCGCATGGTTAGACATATCGTCGGTCTCATGACATTTTGTATTTCATAATGAAACTCTCTCTATACTTAATTACTTTTTAAAAACAACGAATTTGAAAATGTCACGAATGCTCAAGCATTTTTCAGGTTGCAACTTTTTCTCAATCCGAATACCTACATATTAGGTACGTCGGGGTCCCCGAAAAATTCTGGAAAAAAAGTTTCGTTTCGGCTGAGGAGAACTTAATATTAAAGTAATTACGACAATAATTACGACAATTTATCTGGGTTATCTTCAAGATGATTCTCTATACTATAACAATTTTTTGGCATACTGCCAGTCGGAAATGAAAGAGCAAGACTCTTTCATTTTCTTATAGTGAGATAAATACTTTTATTTATTTATTTATTCATTGTTGTTGTAGTAATTTACATTTTTATAGAACAAGCATAAATATCTTTCTAAAGGTAAACAAACATATAAATCTTTATACATTCACAAACACTCAAAATTTTGGGTTAACCAGAAACTTACTAACTAATAAAATATGAAAACTTCTACTGTAGTCTTTAGTGCACGGTGGTACCTGAGGTACTGTGTGTGAACTAATTTTTTTATACACGTAGCATAGTTCAGATGTTTTTATATTATTAAGCCTTATCTAATAAAAAGTAACAGGAAGTAAATTATCTACTTATGACAAATCTCAATACTGCAACAATATAGTAATGTAAAAATGTACAAATAACAATAGAGTTGTTTAAGTTTATGTGTAGATAGTATCTATAGTTTAGATTGAATAATTAATTACTTTGCACTTGGAGTATGGTTTTAATTTGATATTATTTGGAAGGCAATTTAAAACTTTTGGATCTACCAAATAAATTTGGCCCACAGTGTAAGTATAGGCAGTATAGGTATATGATTTTGGCAAGCGGAATGTTTTGGGTTCTATCTCGCGACATTATTTTACACTGTATTTCATGGTATTTTTATCATGAATCTAATTACTGCTCTAAGCTCTAGCTATCTGATATCCAATAATTGGCTTTATCTGAAGAGCAGTTCAGTGGGAAACCTTTTATTTTTAAAAAACATAATTTTAATGACATATTTTTGTGCAACTTGAAGCCTATTCGATATTGTTATCCCAGGCACTACTCCAAATCACCATCCCATAATTCAGAATTGATTCAGCCAGAGCATAGTAGGTACACCATCTTTAATGTGCTCAGACTCAAAATATTTTCATGGATAGTCCAACAAACGCGCCTCGGTCAACAGTAGCCGAACCGTTGAACTTATGGAAATATGTTCTGTATAAAAGTTTTAGCATTTCATCTCTGCTATAACATAAAATTATTTTCAAGTATACAGGGTGTCTGAAAAAAGTGTAATCACAACTTCACAAATTTTATGTTCTTTTTTTAAATGGAATACCGTATGTTTTTATGTGGTAATTGAAGCCTCTATATGCTCTGTATTCAACTTTAAAATCGCATTTGAGTTGAATACAGTGTTGCCAAGTTAGGATTTTTCGAAGAAAAAAATAAACTAAAACATACTTTTCTAAAATTGTCATATCTCTGCCACTGTACATTAATTACCCTTATAAATTTACATGTAATCTAATGTTAGCCTAGTTGCTCCTACAATATCTTCATTTTACGATTTAATTATACAGGGTGTCCAAAATATTTGCCTAAACACGTCAATTTTAAAGTCCATTTTAATTGAGTTTTTCAAATACAACCCCGTATATTATTTTTCTATCGACAAGCTGAAAATGTTCTCTTTCAGAAAATATCATATTTGCCGTATCTATTTCATTAATATTTTGAGATAGGTATTAGGATTTTCCTTTAACTTTGCACAAAAAATAGTAAAAAGCAAAGTAATTTGGTATGGAAAGTTTTTCAGGAGTTTTGGAAATTTTATAGGTTTGGACGTGTTCTTTCCGAATTTCTATTTTGTCACCTCGTATTTTTGCCGCTCGCGCCACCATATTGAAAAATTTGGCCAGAAACAGGTTTTTTCACAATATCTCCTTTCCTTCTCATTAACATGAAAATAGATAAAAATCGGTGAAGGCCTTTACCCATGACTTTCCTCGGCAAACCACTCCATCCTTTTTTGAATAAACATCATTTTTAAATAATGAGTTAGGATTTTTATTTTATTTTTCAATTAAAAAAAAAAAAAACACTTAAATGATGATTTTTCTTCAAAAAAGGATGGAGTGGTTTGCCGAGAGAAGTCATGGGTAAAGGCCTTCACCAATTTTTATAACTAAATATTTTCATGTTAATGAGAAGGAAAGGAGATATTGTGAAAAAACCCGTTTTTTGGTGAAATTTTTCAATATGGCGGCGCGAGCGGCAAAAATACGTGACAAAATAGAAATTTAGAAAGAACACGTCCAAACCTATAAAATTTTCAAAACTCCCGGAAAACTTTCCAAGTAAAACTACAAAATTACTTCACTTTTTACCATTTTTTGTGCAAAGTTAAAGGAAAATCCTAATATCTCAAAATATTAATGACATAGATACGGCCAATATGATATTTTCTGAAAGAGGACATTTTCAGCTTGTCGATAGAAAAATAATATACGAGGTGTTGTATTTGAAAAACTCAGTTAAAATGGACTTTAAAATTGACGTGTTTAGGCAAATATTTTAGACACCCTGTATACTTAAATTTAAAAATGAAGATATTGTAGGAGCAACTAGGCTAACATTAGATTACATGTAAATTTTTAATGGTAATTAATGTACAGTGGCGGAGATATGACAATTTCAGAAAAGTATTTTTTGGTCTATTTTTTTCTTTGAAAAATCATAACTTGGCACCGCTACATTCAACTCAAATGCGATTTTAAAGTTGAATACAGAGCATATAGAGGCTTCATTTGCCACATAAAAACATACGGTATTCCATTTAAAAAAAAAAACATAAATTTGTGATTACTCTTTTTTGAGACACCCTGTAAACTTGAAAATAATTTTAGGCTATAGCAGAGATGTAATGCTAAAACTTTTATACAGAAAATTTTTCCTTAAGTTCAACGGTTCGGCTACTATTGACCAAGGCCCGCTTGTTGGACTACCCTATACATGATATAATGTATACAGGGTGTATATTTTAAGTGATACCACTATTGCTATATCCGAAACGGTGAAAGCTACAAGGTCGGTTAAATTAGAGAAAAGTTGCCTTTTTTGATGTCCATTCAAGACTCGTTTACAGTGTTGCCAAATTCCTGTTAGTTTATGAAATACCGGGTGATTTCTAAGAAATGCCTAAAAATATTTCATCAATTATTTCGAGAACTATTAATTTTCGGAACATAATTCAAATTTGAAAGTTTTATAATTTTTTTCGCTCTACAACATGGCATCTTCAAATTTTGAATCCGACGTTTCGTGATTGAGCTACCATCATCAACTTCATATTTTTAAATACGGACCTGAATTTTTTATGTCAATTTCAGAAAGC